CTTAGCTTTTCCCTTCTCCCAGTCCCTTTGATCCGGGCACCTACTGTATGTTCTGTCTCAGTAAACCTGTCTGGTCTGGAAAGGCCACAGAAATAGACTCATGTAACATGGCCTTTTCCGTCCAGCATCCTGCTTTAGAGGCTGGTCTACACTGTGACATCCGTCTGTTCTCCATTTTTATGACTACATGGTATGTGTAGATAGACTGTATCTTGTCCGCATATAATATGGTCACTCTGTTTAGCTTTTTGAAGAATTTCTAGTTTTCAGAATAGTTACACTTTTCGTTTTGTTTTAAGACACAGCTTCTCTGTGCAGCCCTGGCTGTCCTGGAACTCACTGTGTAGCCCAGGCTGGCCTTAAACTCAGAGCTCTGCCCGCCTCTGCCTCCCGAGCGTCGGGACTAGTTATGGATTCCTTAGGGTTTGCTGTGTCTTTGATCCTGTAACACGTGAGCAGAGATGCTTTCATTTACGTGGAATCTGTGTCTTCCTGTCTGAGCGTGTGCCGTGTGACTGTAGATGCTCAGAAAGACCAGATACTCCGGAACTAGAGTTATAGGTGGTTGTGAGCTTCCCTGCGCGTGCTGGAAACCGAACCTGAGCCCTCTGCAGCAGCAGCAGCAGCAGCAGCGAGTTAGCTTGTCTCTCTGTATGGGGGCTCAGGAGGTCAGGCTTACGTGGGAACAGCTTCCACCCGCGGAGACGCCTCCTCCTCCGCATCCCGGTTCCCTCTTGACTTGAACAGCTCTTGGTCTTAATATCCCAGGCCCTTTTCTTGCCAGCGTACCGAGGCATCTGTGCGCGCAGTAAACGTGTTCGGGGCCTTCTGCTTCCACTGCTTAGAAAGTTCCTTATCTCCTCTCTCACCTTAATTCCCCCACCGTTTTCAAGTCACACTGTCACCTTAACCTAGGAGAAAGGAAGGCACAGCAAGCTCTGAAGAGTCCCCGGCAGCCGTGAAAACGTGATGCCTGTGTGTCTTTCTTTCCGTGGGTCAGAACAGAAGAAAGCTAACTACGTAGTGAGCTGGGGTTTCGTGTTTACATCAGTCTAAGAAGTGGTTGCCCGGGAGGCTGAGTGTTGGCTACAGCCTCAGTGGGTGCTTTTCTGTTTCTGGGTGTGGACTGAGTAGTTCCCTTCCTAAGGTAAATGCAGTAAATGCTGTGGAGACACTCTGGTGTGGCTCGCAGTGTGGTGTGGCTTGCAGTGAGTGTGGCTCGCAGTGTGCGGGTCCTGCGCCTCTCACTTAGACTGAGCTTGAGGACTTAATGTAACGGAGGGAGGGAAGGTAACATGCCTGCTAATTACTCCTTTACTGTTAGTGTCACCTGTGTTCCTAGTTCACAAGTTCAAAGCCCTGCTGCTTTCAGGAAACCAGTGGTTTAATGCACTTTAGAGACCAGGATGGCAGAAGCTAAGAAATAGAATAGTTAGAGACCGTATTGGTCCGTTTCAGTCTCTTTAGTGCAGTGTACCTGCCATACCCTTGAAGTCTGGGGAACCCTGGGAGGTGACGTGGGCCGTACATGGAGACATGATAGTATAGTGGTCTCCCCTATTCAAGACTTTCCTTTATGTCAACTCGACCCAACCTAGAATGAACTGGATTCTAGGGATTGTCTGCATTGGCCAGTGGGCGTGTCTGTAAAGGATTACCTTAACTGGTTTAGTTGATGTAGGGGAGACTCAGCCCACCACGGGTGGCTCCATTCCCTCTGAAGTGGGTTCTGAAATGCATTAAGAGTAGAGAAATCAAACTGAGAGCACGCGTGTACATGTCTTTCTCTGCTCTTAGCTGCGGATGTGACGTGACCAGCAGTCTCAAAACTCCCGCCTTTTGTGGTTTACCCAAAGCAACGGGTAGTACCCTGGAGTTGTGAGCCAAATAAACCTCCACCGTCGCCCAGCTGCTCGCTTATCGGGGTATTTTATCCCAGCAACAGAAACAAAACTAGAGCGTCACCCATGATCAGCCACAGCCTGCAGCTACCAAGTGGGAAGTTCCAAAGAGAACTCGTTCATTTCAGTTGCATGCTGCTCCGAGCAGGGTGGCGACATCCCTACCGACTTGCTCTGTCCTGCTGGTGACACTGTGTGCCGCTGTCCGTCAGTCACTGAGCAGCCGCTGTGTGTTATCAGATCCGCACACGGGGTGCACCACAGTATCTGTGCTCACATGATCTGAGTTTATCTCACGTCCCCCAAAGTACAAGATGGTATTGGCAACTGGGGTGTGCCCAAGGAGAAGCTAACGTTAGTCCTTCCAGTGCAAAGATGAAAAGGCTTAATTAATTAATTCTTTAGACAGAGTCTCACTATGTAGTCCTGGCTGGCCCGGAAATTGTCATGTAGATCAGGCCAGCCTTAAGCTCAGAGAGATTCATATGTCCCTGCCTTCAGGGTGCTGGGATTAAAGGTATGGGCCACCCTGCTGCTGGGTGACAATTCTTGATCTTACTTTATGAGTGTCTATGTAGGAAAAGGATGGTATATTTATGGGGTTCAGTACTTAGCTTCAGGGTCTCACAAGGACTCCTGAGACCTATCCCCTAGGGGAAGCGGGATACCCTATTTTAGCAGCAGGGAGAGTGCTGCGGCCTGGGATTGGCACGGGGACCTCACACTCAGCAAGCACACTGCTTCCTACATCTTTTCCTCGATAACAGTTCTTATCTGCGTTGTGCAATAGCTGTGATATAATTTTAGCAGAACGGGAGGTTGCATAACTGTCAGATCGTGGCCCGTTAACCCTCAGTCTGGCTCTGCTTCCTTCCTCAGCCCTGTGAGGCGATTGTTTGGAGACTCTGGTTTGTACCCAAACAACTCGAGTCTCAAGGCAAAGCATCTTTCTTTCCCGAGGACCAACTGGCGTTCAGAAAGACTCATTCATGTTCACCAAGTCCTTGGAAGAACATGCAGGCATCACTAGGGCACCGATACACCAGACATTGCCACTCGGCTCTGCAGAGCCAAGGGGGGAGACTCTGAGAACAAAATAAAGAGAGAGGACTGCAGGCCCAGTGCATGCTGGGAAATGTGTGTCCTCTCCAATTTCTGTACACTCGTGTCCACAGGCGTGTCTGACAGGTCTCACTCCCGGTCAGTCAGACCTGCAGCTGCCGTGTGCCGTGCTGCTGCTGGGCATTTGGAATTGAGCACAGGCATGTAGCAAGTCCAGTGGAGAATGCAGGCTTACCCTGGCCCAAGTTCCCTTCTGAGCCCTCAGTGTTGCCTACCAGCCATCCGTCCTTGCTGAGCTGAGCTTGAGAAGTCCCCAGCATCTGTGGCTTGGGGCAGCTGCATGAAGAAAGCTCCCAGCTGTTTCAGGCTTCATGTGAATGGTGTTGAGGGCTTACGGGTTTGCACTGGAGGCCATGAGGCCTGCAGTCTTACCCGTTTGTCAGGTGCATAACTTTATAGAAAAAAGGAACTCATTGTTTAAAAAAAATTAAAACGAAAAAGGAACTTGGGCACGGTGAGGGCGCACTCCTGAAATCCCAGCAGGTGGGGGAGGGGGTGGAGGCAGGAGGAGCTCGAAGCCAGTGTGGGCTATGTGAGAACCTGTCTGAAACCAAACCAAACCCCACCCAGCTCAGTGAGCATCTCCTTTGTCTCAGTCCCGTGTTCAAGTCTGGCCCGCACTCCCGTCCTGCGTCTGTTCCTGTGGCGTAGCCATAGGGTGTTGTGTTTTTCTGCACCTCCTAAGGGTTGGAAGTGCCCTTCCATGCTCTTAACATCCAGTGAGTGATGCCAGTGTTTGCTTCACAGAATGCAGAGGCCTTGGACCCACGGGGCCGGACGTTACTGCACCTTGCGGTTTCCCTGGGGCATTTGGAATCCGCTCGAGTCTTGCTGCGACATAAAGCAGACGTGACCAAAGAGAACGGCCAGGGATGGACAGGCAAGTATACTTGTCACCTGTGTCGCCTACACATTCATTTCAGGGTCTCTGGCTGAAGACGGGCGCGTCTCAGTGGTCATCTTCCTCAGTCAGCTGTGTCTCTCAGGGCAAGGGGCAGGAATGACAAGATGAAGGCAGGATGCTGGTCTCCCCGTCCCGAACCCTCAGTAAAGGGTAACTCATCTCCCAGAAGCGGTCCTTCCCAACACCTATGAGCAAGCCGCATTTATCCTGGGAGTATGGTCAGAACTCCACTAAGGCCAGTGATAGGGGGTGAAAGCAAAGATCTGAGCGCCCAATGTGCCCCTTCTGGTGAATTCTTGGTGTTCTGTTTGCACACCCTCTCACTGTTAGAGAACAGCAGTTTCATGTGGACCAGGCAAGGACTCTTGTGTGTGTAAGTCCTGCCTCCAGAACGACCTGTAGTCGAGGCGGTGTGAGTGCAGGAGGAGGCGTGATCAGGCCGGTATTCGTGCTGCGCTTTCTTTAGTGAAGTGAGAGTTGGCAGCAGATGTCATGGCCCTGTGCCATACACCCAGCCTCAGTTCTCTGCCTGTCTGAGGCGCGTACCGGTCTTTGAGCTACCCCCGAGCTACCCCGATGGCTTTTCATGTCGGAATGTGTCAGAGAGCATCAGGATGCTTTGTGATTGTGTTCTGCCCGTTTGTTCTCTAGTTTTACACGAAGCCGTGAGCACGGGCGATCCCGAGATGGTGCACACAGTCCTGCAACACCGAGACTACCACAATACATCCATGGCCCTGGAAGGTGTGCCCGAGCTGCTACACAAGATCCTTGAGGTAACCGTAAGACTGGCCATGCCAAACTCTGAGCCAGACACTGCCACAATCTCTGGAGACAGCTCCACGGCCTTGAGTGTCCGCCTTAAGTCTTCAGAATAGTGAATGTGGCACTTCGTTGCCAAATAGTGCCAACTTTCTCTTGTCTTGAAGTGTGGGGCCTCCTACAAGTTATGTCTCTGGGGCACGATGCTTGCCTTTCTCGGTGCCACTTTAAAATCCTAGCTGGAGGACAGTGGATGGCAAACACGATTTGCCTAGGGCCCTGTGTTCTTAGCAGAGCCCTGTGCTGAGGTGATCACACAGTAAGATGGGCCATTGTATTCTGTGATTTCTAATCCATTCCCCTAACTCATTTGCAGTGACTGGCTTTAGGGACATTATCTGTCTTGTGAATTGCAGTATGAGAGGTCTTTCTTTAAAAGCAGTGACTCTCCAGGCTCCTGGGTTGTTTGAGGTGATAGCTCTCTTCCATTTGAAGGGAAGACGGGTGACATGCCCTCGGCTCTGGTTCATCGATCTGGGGCTCCAGCTTAAGCCCAGAAGTGACTTTCCCAGAACAGCTTCTCAGCGATTAGCTAGTTAAGTCAGTATAGATAGAGGGAGGAACTTGGCCATAAGTAAAGCAGCGGGCGGCCAGTGTCTGAGCACTCTGGAACACCATGCGTGAGGCTTAGGGGGACTTCCTGTGAGGAGACTCATTTCCCAGGTAACCTCAGTGGACACAGGTAACCTCAGTGGAATGTTCCATGAAGTGTGAAGTAGTTAGATGCTAGTTACATGCGTTGTTTCAAAACATGCCTGGGGCTGGAGGGATGGTTCAGTGGTTAGAGCACTGGCTGCTCTCCCAGAGTCCTGAGTTCAATTCCCAGCAACCACATGGTGGCTCACAACCATCTGTAATGGGATCCGATGCCCTCTTCTGGTGTGTCTGAAGACAGAGACAGTGTACTCACAAACATAAAATAAATAAATAAATCTTAAAACAAACAAACAAAAAACATCCCTGTTGGCAGGTGTGCAGAGGTCACGTATGTGGCTCTGTGTCTCTCGTTGTGTCACCGCCAGTCGAGCCAGTCATTCGAGCTTTTTCTTTTCCCTCTGAGGCGGTGTCCCCCGTAGCTCAGGCTGCTCAGCCGAGGATGCTTTTGAGCTTCCTGTTCTCCCAGCTCCACCTCCCGAGGCCAGGTCACCAGGCCTGCCACCGGGCCTGCCGCATGCGGTGCTGGGATGGGATTCAGGGCTTCTGGCTTGCTGGGCAAGCTCCGTGTGCGCTGTGCCACGTCGCCAGCCTAAAGCCGTCTGTTTGACAAGGAAGAATTAGGATCCAATGTAAAGGATTTTAAAAAAACAACAACCACCTGTATTGATCCTTAGAAGCGAATTACACTGATTTGTATCCGAGGCATCAAGATTTAGACAATGCCTAGATCGTTACATTGTGGCACCAGAAGTGTTTCCTTAGAACATATGTTAGCATTCCTCCCTTACCAGCTATCCCCTGGAGGTTGAGTTTCCCGTTAGTAAAATCTTGGTTGGTTTCACACAGGGTAGATTTCCTTGCCTTCTGCCCTGTGCAGGGACAAAAACGAATGCAAACCTTTGGGGGTAATGAGGGAAAGGGAAACAATTCTCTATATAATCCCACCTCCCTCCCCACCACACCCCTCTCTCTCATAAGACAGGGTCTCACTATGAAGCCCCAGCTGTCCTGGAACTTACTGTAGATGAAGCTGGCCTCGAACTCACAGAGTGCTGAGATTGAAGCCATGCCACCCTGCACCCCACATGACTCTCTCTTTGGACAGTCAGTTGGCTTTCTTAAGTAGCTCTTCAAGGGCCTTGTGTAAGAGATTAATGAGAGACCAAAAAAAAGAAAAAAAAAAGTCCTAAAGGAGGATGTCGCGGTGGTGTGAAATTTCGGAAAGCCAAATTGTAAAAGTTGAAGAGGAATCTGGGAGGTCGGGTAAGCAGAGGGAGAATCCAGCTCCTGTGGAAGTGACGGCTAGCCTCCCGTGTCGTGTTCGTACGCTCGGCCAATAAGCGTGACACACAAACAGCCCTTCACAGTTATGTTCCCTACAGAAGACAGGAAGGTGACTTCCTTCTGTTGACCTTGGATATTACCCACATCGTATGGCAGCTTTAACACTCTTGATGCTCCGAGCCCAGAGACACCGTAAGGTCCCATTTCCAACCTGATGCTTGGAGCCCGGAGACCCCAATAAGGTCCCATTTCCAGCCCAGTCATTTTGCTGTTAACTGTTTTCCTTCTAAACATAATATACTTATTTGGAGTGCGTGGATGTGTGTTTATCACAGCCTAAAATGTGGGCATCAGAGGACATCTTGTGGGAATTGGTTCTCCCCTTCCACCGCGTGGGTCCTAGGGATCGAACTTGGGTTGTCGGGTCTGGCTGTTAACACCTTTGCCCACGGAACTATCTACCCATCCAGAAGTATTTTCACTGGGATAAATAACTAAGCCAATGTAAAAATATTTGTCTCAGTGTATCCATACCTTGATTCTTTGCATTTCTCGTCCCTCCTGGGATTGTTTAAGAGGCACATTAGCCGTGCAAGCCTTAGTTCTAAGGTCGTACCATGGGTCAGGCCCCTCCTAACCTTCTGTCTGCCCTCCAGGCCCCGGATTTCTACGTGCAGATGAAGTGGGAGTTCACCAGCTGGGGTGAGTGGCCGTGGGCCTAGGATTTCTTTGTTCCCAAATTCGCATGATCTCTTCATGGGTTTATTTTCCTTTGTAAAAGCTTCGTGTGCAGGGGCTGGGGGCGGGGCTTGCACGTGCGCATGCTGGTGTGGGTCTGTGATGACCCGCATCTCTGGTCTTTGTTTCTGAGTGTTGGGTTGGCCCTGAACATGCAGTAACAGCATACAGACACGTGTGTCTCCTCCTTGCCTCATGTATCCCAGACACCCACTTTGTTAGTTTGATTGCCTTTCGTTATTTTTAGGGGTGCGTGGGGTCAGAGTAGTATAGCCCTGCCTGGCTTTCTGCTCTGTGTAGCCCATTCTGGCCACAGTCAGTCCTCCCGCCCCTTGGCCTCTTGTGTAAGGACTACAGGTATGTGCCCACGCTTGCAGCTTCCTTAAGAAGCAGGGTCTCATTGTGGCCTCTGGGCCCCTGGGCTGAAAGGCCTTCCTGCCTCAACTCCCCTTGTAGCTAGGAAGCTAGGACCAGGCATGCACCGCTCCATCTGTCTGTCAGGCCGGCCTCCTGGTTCTCACTGCCTGTTTGCAAGGCAAACACTTAATGACTTAGCATGACTTAGCACGGTTTGATGCTCTTCCTGTGCTGTTTAGCTTGATTCTTTCAAACCTGTTGTTCTGGGGAAAAGAGACAAACAGTGGAATTGTTTTCTTTCTGTTTTTCTTTTCTTTTTGTTTTTTTTTTTTAATTTCATTTTCTACAAAATGCATGTCTTTCTCCAAAATACTCTGTAATTGATGATAGAAATTTTCACAGCTCAGCGAGCTAATAACACTTGGTCTTTATAGCTTTTCTGGTTTTGTTTTTTGTTTGTTTGTTTGTTTTTGGTTTTTTTGAGACAGAGTTTCTCTGTGTAGCCTTGGCTGTCCTAGAACTCACTCTGTAGACCAGGCTGGCCTCGAACTCAGAAATCCGCCTGCCTCTGCCTCCCAAGTGCTGGGATTAAAGGCGTGCGCCACCACTGCCCGGCTCTTTGTAGCTTTTCATCTCACTCTGATGTCCAGTTTTGATAAAGAACAGATTTATTTATTTATTTTAATTAGTACACTGTCGCTATCTTCAGACACACCAGAAGAGGGCATCGGATCTCATTACAGATGGTTGTGAGCCACCATGTGGTTGCTGGGAATTGAACTCAGGACCTCTGGAAGAGCAGCCGGTGCTCTGTAACCTCTGAGCCATCTCTCCAGCCCTCGATAAAGAGCAGATTTTAGACCCTTGATATATTTTGAGTGGCGGCTGTACTCGGGAGCTGTGACCACACGGCATTAGTAGACGTGGGATCTGAGAAGGCCAGGTGGACACATCCCCAGCCCTGGAGGGTCAGCTCAGGCCTTGGAAGACTGATGGGAAATCTGTATAGTGTCCGCTCTGGTGTGCTGGAGGAAGAGGCTGGGTTTTCTTTGTTTTTAATTATGTTTTTAATGTTAGGAATTGAGCCCCACTGAGCACACACTGTACTGCCAAGCTATAGCTCTCGCCTTCCTGTTGCTTGTCTGTCTGTCTGTCTGTCTGTAGTACCAAGATGGAACCAAGTGCATGTGAGTGACCTACCCCTGGGCTATGACTCTCCACTTAGAACACTGTTTAGTTTAAATTGGTCTTACTACCTGGTCTGGCTAGCCTCAAACTTGCTACTCGGCCCAGGTTGGCCTCAAAATAGAACTCCTTCCCCAGCCTCCCGGGGGTGCAGGCCTGCCCACCGTGCCCGGCTCCCACTTCTGTTGTCAGGATGAGGTCCTTTACGAGCATGAAGGGAGTGGTCCAGTTGTGTGCACCCCTGCAATCGCATCTTACCGACTCTGCCCTCTTTGCTGAAGTCAGAGCCCTGAGTTCCTGGCCCACAGGTTCCGCTGGGCCCTTGTGTTCTTCTCAGTCATGCGCCTGTCTCTCCTCCCCTCCAGTGCCTTTAGTGTCTAGAATCTGCCCGAATGACGTCTGTCGCATATGGAAAAGTGGCGCCAAGCTGCGCGTGGACATCACCTTGCTGGGCTTCGAAAACATGAGCTGGATAAGAGGGAGGCGGAGCTTCATCTTCAAGGGAGGAGGTGAGTGAGTGTAGGAATCCCTGCGTTGTTGTTACTGAGATAGGTCTCACTAGGTAGCCCTGGCCGGCCTGAACCTCTCCTTGTAGACCAGGCTAGCCTCTGCCTCCCGATGCTGAAGTTAAAGGTGTATGCTACCATGTCTAGTTGCATGGTAAATTTTTAACCAATAAAATGTATTTGTGTTTTATTCTTTATCTTCATTATTTTGGAGATTGGCTAGTTCCCTGCCCATCCATTACTTAACACCAGTTGTCTATTGTGTGAAACGCCACCTCCAGGGCTGGAGAGATGGCTTAGTGGTTAAGAGCACTGACTGCTCTTCCAGAGGTCCTGAGTTCAAATCCCAGCAACCACATGGTGGCTCACAACCATCTGTAATGAGATTTGATGCCCACTTCTGGTGTGTCTGAAGATAGCTACAGTGTATTCATATATAAAATAAATAAATCTTTAAAAAAAAAATGCCACCTTCTGTCCTGGGTTGCTCTGCGTTCCCTTCGTGATTGGGTGTGGTTCTGTGGTGAAGGGAGATCACCAGTGTACCCAGTAGACCATCTACACTAACGCTGTAGCAGTGGTGTGTAAAGGTCATAGGTGAAGTGTGCTGTCAATAAAGAAGGAATATTGGTTTTAAAATCTCCCATTTTTGGAAAGATGCACCGGGGTCTCTGGTGAGTTGTAGAGAGCTGGCCAGAGGAACTCTGTGTAAGTAGAGTCAGTCAGTAATCGGTAGCCTCTGCGGGGAGGCTTGGGGGGTGGGGGAGGGCTCCGTGCAGCGTGCTTCCTGACACTTGTGGTCTCCTTGACAGACAACTGGGCGGAGCTGATGGAGGTCAACCACGATGACCGCGTGGTCACCACTGAACACTTCGATCTTTCCCAAGAAATGGAGCGCCTCACCCTGGACCTGATGAAACCGAAGAGCAGGGAGGTGGAGAGGCGGCTCACAAGCCCAGTCATCAACACCAGCCTGGACACTAAGAATGTCGCCTTTGAGAGGTACGGATTAGACTCCAGTCTCCTGTAGTCTGGGGACTGCTTTCATGAATGGCGTGCTCGCAGTAATGGGAAGTTACGACTGATGGGGACTTTCCTAAGGCGGCGTAATGCTAGTTGGTTTTAAGAGTGATGTCTAGGGCTAGTCAAATCGGCATCCTGATTGATGTGCTGTGCGCATCGTCTCTGTAGCGTCGTAGCGCTGTGTCTTAAGTCCTGTCCCTGTATGCTTCCGTGGGCCCCTTCTTCTAGGCTCCCTGGATCTTTTTTTGTTTTGTTTTGGTAGTTTTAGATGCACAATGCTCCTTCATCCCAAAATGTGAAACTTTGAGTTTCTTTTCTTTTTTTTTTTGGTTTTTCAAGACAGGGTTTCTCTGTATAGCCCTGGCTGTCCTGGAACTCACTCTGTAGACCAGGCTGGCCTCAAACTCAGAAATCCTCCTGCCTCTGCCTCCCCAGTGCTAGGATTAAAGGCGTGCGCCACCACTGCCCGGCTAGAACTTTGAGTTCCTTGAAGCTAGAATTGACCAGAATTGTATTGACACTAGGCAGTCAAATTTATACTTACCATAATGTACTGTAGCCCCGACCCCACCTATGAGGGAACAGCGTAGAGAAGCATCTGGAGGCTGCTCAGTTCTTTCCAGGGCCTTTGAGGAGCTCTCTCCAGAGAGCTCTGTATCCCAATGAGACGCCGTCTGTAGCCGTCCACTGAGACAGCCATCCTATGGGTCGTGCTGGACAGGGCGGGCCACTTTGAGTACAAAGGAAACAGAACCTGTCATATCTCTCTGTGTGGAGCTCAATACGCTGAGGGAGTCTGCAGTATCCCTAGTGTTTGCCTACGATGTCACATCTGCCTAGCAATCAGTATAGCCTGAGCTAATCTGGACCTTGTTGCCGAATCCAGGCCTCCTTCTCTTCATGAACGTGCTAACTGATCTCTTTAGCATTGTTTTCACATTGTCAGTGAAGAAAACTCTGAGACATCTCTTTGGTCAAGTCTAAAACATAACTGCCCTTTTCCTTGTGTGTATTAAAGCCACAGAGACAGGCGCCTGACAGGGATTGGACATGCAGCCTGTGTCGTGTCTCGGGGCTGCTTCCGAAGCAGGAACTTCCAATGAAGGACGTCCTGTTGCCAGCCTCCTGGCTAGAGACACTGAGGCTTAGGGAGCAGCTGTGGGGGTCATGTGCAGGCTCTTGGCCTGATGTCCTTAGGTTTCAGCATGCGCCTCACAGGGAGGGCGGCCCCTCAGAGGCTCTAGACTAGAGGAGGCCACTGTCGCTGCCACAGCCCATCAGCCGAGAGGACAGCGGAGAGCAGCGTAAGTGACAGTGGTGGTGGCTGAGGTCCGACTCCACAGCCGTTTCCTTACCAGGAGGGAAAGCAGACGAGTAGGCTTGAGAGTGGAGCCCCTGAGACCTGTGACCCTACGCCGGGATTCGGCGCCGCTCATCCAGCGTTGTTAGAGCCATTGTTTGCTGTGAAGTGGAGCCTATCCAGGGTGTGTGGCAATTCCTGGCCTTAGTCCACCAAGTGCAGATGGGAAACTAGAGTGTGTCCCTGTGTACCGAGGACGAAGGTACATTGTGTATCCGAGTGGTCTCGGGGTTTTCAGACAGCTAGCTCAAGCTGGCTTTCCTGAAGCTGACAGGGGACTGAGGCGAGGGTGCTGAGAGACAGCTGGCTTTTTTGTTTTGTATTTAATGATGTCCATACGTGATCAGTGAATGCAGGCATAAGAAGAGATTGGAGCCGCTCCCGAGTGTGAGGTTTACTGACTCAAAGTCATAAGAACAACCATCCAATTGAGGCTCTCTCCGTGGTTCTTTGCCACGCTGCAAAGGACAATGGTTACTGTTGTCCTTTTCCTGTGCCTACACTAGGAATTTGATCCTTACAAAACTCCCTGATGAGTTTCGGGAGACAGTATGTACCTGGCCAAACTTTGGTTTTTTACTCTTTCCCTGTATGCTGTGCCATAGGGAAAACATCCCTGCCACTCCAGAGCCGCCTTTAAACTTCGTAGGACTGAGTCACAGTGCCTGCTACGAGGCCTCTGGTGTGTTGGTCTCAGGTGGGACAGGCCGAAGGAAGCTGGGTGCCCTGTTATTGTCTTCAGATGCCTGTGCACGCAGAGCTGGCAGAGACCCAAGGAGTCACGGCTGGGTTTAGTTAGCATAGTGGAGTGTGAGCTCTCTACCTCAGTTGCTGGCAGAGTGGGACTGCCAAGGCCAGCAGGGCTGCGATGTGTGAGAGCAAACGAGGACAGCTGAGAAGCGGGCATGTCCGCCTAGCACCAGTGCAGCGAGGAACGAGTTACCCAAAGGAGCATCTGGACTTCAGTCCCTGGCGGCAGCAAGGGCTGTGGCCTGCTGGTTGCCAGTGCGGGCCTGGTGCCCTGCTCTTGTTTGAGTCGTGTAAGCCAGAGCAGCCAGCGTTACCCAGAATCCCTTTGAGTAGCCAGCATTACCCAAATCCCTTTAGGACCTATCTCTTGCTGTGTGGGGCCATCTTCAACCAAGAGAAATATTAACACCCGTGGGTCTTCCTTTTGTGACGGGTTAAAACAGATCTATAAAACTCAGTATGTCGCCCGATCTGATTTCCCGAATCCCACTAGAAATTCCTTTCTATGGAATTTATGTTATGGAAATATAAAATTTACAAGCTGCATTCTGCTTTTGTGAGCCGGGTAGCCTGCCGCCATCCTCTGAGCTTCCTCCGTGACAAGACAGCGCAAAGGGCAGACTGATGGCAGCTCCACACAGTGCCAGGCAAAGCTAGGGTGTGACGTTCTAGACAAAGGCAGGGCTGATGGGCCCCTCTCTGAGGGGAAACGCTTCCCAGGGCAAGCTGCTCTGAAAAGCAGTCACAGCCAGGAGTGGTGGGACGCTCTTGCCTGTAACTCCAGCACTTTGGAGGCCAGAGGCTCCCAGGTTTGGGGCAGTCTGACTTACATAGCAAGATCCCAAAAGAAAACTGACTGGAACCTAGAGGCTGTTCTCGGATCCCGAGTGCATTTTTCCCTAGAAGTGTGTAGCTCTGATTAACTGGGTCTCTAAGCACACAGCCCACGCCACAGGTGCAGCAGCAACCCCGGGCCGCCTCCAAAGTCACCTGTAGATTGGAATCAGTGGCTAAATTGAAAAGCCACTCGCCGGGTGGTGGCACACACCTTTAATCTCAGCACTTGGGAGGCAGAGGCAGGCGGATTTCTGAGTTCAAGGCCAGCCTGGTCTACAGAGTGAGTTCCAGGACAGCCAGGGCTATACAGAGAAACCCTGTCTCGAAAAACCAAAAAAAAAAAAAAAGAAAAGAAAGAAAGAAAAGCCACTCTTCATGTCCTTCCTCCCTGTTGTACCTGACAATGGACACATGATTCTCCGGTCATTTTGAAAGTTTTAATGGCCTCTCCTGGCCTCTCAATGTTGTTACGGGTTCCGACTCCACCTGCATTTCCCCTTGAGGCGGGGAGCTGTGTGTTCGCAGTTCTGAGAATTGCTGGATGGCGAAGAGGCCCTTGCCTTCAGTCGATGGCCCAGATCCAAGCAAGCAAGACCTTGGACACGGGCCAGCTTCACTCATTTCTTGAGGACAGCTGTCCAACAAATGTCATGACCTTTGCCCCCTGTGCTTGGCAGGTCCTGTGCAGAAGCCAAGAGCGGAGCTTTCTTTGCCCTGGAGCGCCCACACTGATAACTGTGGGAGGGGGAGGGATGTCTCAGCCATCTGTCACTGGTCGCATCCTTCTGTGGACAGTAGGACCACGATTTCCAAGTGTCCTTCACTAGTGTCAGGGGCAGGGGAGGCTGTAAGGTCTGCAGGGGCGCGCCATGACTGGCATTGTTGTACATGTGGAAATTTGTGGTGTTCCCTTTTGTCAGAACTAAATCCGGATTCTGGGGCTGGAGGACCGATAAAGCAGAAGTTGTTAATGGTTACGAAGCAAAGGTAAAAGCAAACTCTTCAAATAAGATTTCCTGTAGCTTCTTCGCTGCTATGCAAATGAGTGGGTCTGTTCTGATTGCTTCCCTGCATCTGCCAGAAGGACAGTCCCTGGGGAGTGAGTTCTAATGCGTCTCCTACTCGCTGTTTTCCTGATTTTTTTTTTTTTTTCAGAAGATGGACAGCATGCTCTGAGCAGTCTGTAGCTTTCCTAAAGAGAACTGGCTGTCCAGAAATGAGAGTGGTTCCTTTGGTTCTTTTTTTTTTTTTTAATTATTATCATCATTATTATTGTCGCTATTATTATTAAATTTAGTCCGTTTATCTCTTTTAAAGAAGATATCATATAGGAAGTAGTTTCTGTGATCTATTGTTAGTTAAGGTTTAAGATAATTTCTTTAGCTGACTCTTAAGCCGCAGCTCTTAAAAGCCGCTTCCGTGCCTGGAAATCCGGCTGTCGGATGGGGGTGTCTGGCATCATTTGGTATTTTGTCAGTTGACAGGCTGTTTGCCGGCCTTTCCTCAGTGTGCAGCAGGGACGGAGGGAGCCAGGTGCGACAGGGTCTTCTGCTGGCTTCTGAGGGAGCAAAAACAGCCCCATCGTGCTCGGCGAGATGCATTTAGAAACAACTGCTGCAGAACGGAGTGTGGTTTCTGCAGCTGTCAGCACACAGCAAATTCAGACTTCTCAGACAGCCCTGACAGACAGCACAGCGTTCCCTCTGGCAATCAGAATCTTTTTTTTTTTTTTCCCATCAGTAGAAAGAGTGCTGGTTTTCTCTGCTCTCCCAGGTCTGGAGAGCCTAGGTCCAGCTTAATCAGTACTGTCGGGAGAGCACCACAGATCACAGGAGACAGGAGCTGGAGGAGCCTGGTGCACACCCTAGCTACAGGATACCTGCTGAGCCCCTGAGGATGCAGAGTTTAACTGCTGAGCGCGTCCCAGGCAGGAGCTGTCTATCAGAGGGGCTGAGGGCTGTTATTGACCAGTTCTTGCTTTTATTCTGCTGGATTTGCTTGATGTTGCTTCAGCATTCTCGGTCTTGCCATGCGCGTGTTGGCTTTTGGTGCCCCCCACCCCCCCCACCCCGTGTCACAACTGTCTTTTGCACACATCCCTGAAGGTTTACTCGGTAAACAACGTGAGCGTGATAACCAAGATCCGCACAGAGCACCTGACGGAGGAGGAGAAGAAGAGATACAAAGGTAAGCCGCCCCACACCAGCCTCCCTCGGACGGGCTGTGTGGACCAGTGGTTCTCAACCTTCCTAATGCTGCGTGCGACCCTCTGATACAGCTCCTCATGCTGTGGCGACCCCCCCCCCAACTATAAAATTATCTTGGCTGCTACTTCATAAACTGTAACTTTTCTACTATCACAAATCATAATGTAAATACCTGTATTTTCCAAAAGTCTTGGGCGGCCCCTGTAAGAAGATCCTCCGTCTCCCAGAGGGGTCACGGGCCCACAGGTTGAAAACCACTGGTTATAGACAGTGCTGTGTTTCTTTGGGGTGAATGTGTTGTTTGGACATGCGAATCCTAACTTGTCTTTGTAAAAAATTTCCTTAGTTTGACTCATTTGTGGAGCTTTTCATGGTTGGTTTCAGTTGTAATTAAAGCCACTCGTGAGGGCTTAACTTCCGTGCTGTGGCAATAGCTGATGGTAGCAGCAGCAGCAACAATGGAGAGTGAGAAGAACTGGGAATCTTATCCTTAGGATGAGTGACTTTGCCACCATTATAGTGACGAGATTTTTGTGGAACTCGGGCTCTGGGCTGAGTCCCCGTGGATCTGTGGTTACCATATACCGGCTTTGCCAGCTCTGTGGCCTTGTGCCGCGGTCTCTGCCGGAGGCCTCTTTCCTGTGTAGTAAGATGGAGTTGGTGCTGGGCCAGTTTCCTGGTCACTGAGAGGAGCTGATGAGCCGCCACATGCAAACAAGCGTTTAGAAGGCGTAGGCAGCTACAGTTGACAACCAGCGGGCGGCTGGCAGAACCCAGCAGTGGGGGCCACGGAGGGAAGGGATCCAGCCCAGCTCGCTCTGAAGCGAGGTGCTACCGCTGCTCTGCCTGAATTCTTGTTCTGTTGTTTTCTCCTTTTCCTGATTGACCTGTGTTGACCGCACGTAACACGGGGCTCCATGGTGAGCGCTTGGATTCTCATGCAGGTCCCTCCAGGTTAAAGCTCCTAAGACGCGTCCTAAAAGATGCTAAGGAGAACCTCTCGCCTTGGTGGGTGGCTTTTGTCGCCACCCCTACAAATGAAATCCGTACTGTGGGTAGCTTGGTTCAGGACCCAGGCATCGCTGTGCGGGGCCTGACTCTATTGGTCTTTGCTCCATCTCTAGAGGACCGGAATCCACTGGAGTCTCTGCTCGGAACTGTGCAACATCAGTTCGGTGCTCAAGGGGTGAGTCGAAGACGGGGTGTTTGGGGAGCTAGCTTAAGGTATAGATGGCCCCTCTCCTGTTTGCGATGGTGGCTGCAGTCCCTGAGCAAGGTCCCTTGACTTGGGATGGCTCCCAAAGCTCCCAGGAGAGCTCCTGGGACACAACTGCATGAACGAAACTTTGAAAAATCAAAAGATTTTGGAGGAAGGGCAGATCCTAGAAACAGGCTCCCGCTCTGATAAACAAGGGCCCTCTCTGCGTGTGGCTCTAAAGCCAGGCCGGCTTTATTCTGCAACATGGCTCCTTACCCCCGCCCCCAGCTAACCACTCATCTGGATCAGTGACGTCACTGAGGGTCAGGAGATGCAGCTTCCTTAGCAGCACTGAGGCTGAAGACATGAATGCCAAGTCCTCTAAATCCCTCACTGGCTCACGTGATGTCTTCTCTAGCAGGACATAGAGATGGGGGGAGGGCGTGTTAAATCCTCAGATCTGATTCGGCCGGCTCCACGTCGTGCCTGCCCTGTCAGACCCGCCTGCTCCATGAAGTACTTATGGCTCGTGAAGTCATTGTCGGCCTGCACTATAAGGTCAGGCAGTCCTAACTGTCCTTAGTTCTGGCTTAGCAGGACCTCACTACTGAGTGTGCCACTGTGAACAACCCCACAGCCATCACGCCCGACGAGTACTTTGATGAAGACTTTGATCTGAAAGACAGGGACATTGGAAGGCCGAAAGAGCTGACGATCAGAACACAGAAGTAAGTAGTGGAAGACACGATGGATCGTCCATCTTCTGTGGTTTGCTGATCCCTTACCCTTTCCTTTAGAAGTAATGTTGAGGTTCTCTCTCTCTCTCTCTCTCTCTCTCTCTCTCTCTCTTTGTCTCTCTGTCTCTCTCTCAAAAGGTTTATTTAAGTATTCAAGTACACTGTAGCTGTCTTCAGACACACCAGAAGAGGGCATCAGATACCATTACAGATGGTTGTGAGCCACCATGTGGTTGCTGGGAATTGAACTCAGGACCTCTGGAAGAGCAGTCAGTGCTTTTACCCTCTGAGCCATCTCTCCAGTCTAATGTTGAGGTTCTTAATCTGGCAAAAACCAACAGTCAAGGCTCCCTGTCTTTGTCATAGAAGATAAAGAGAGAGGAGCTCGTGTGTGTGTGTGTGTGTGTGTGTGTGTGTGTGTTTGTGTGTGTGTGTTTACTGCCAGTAAATCTAGCTGGTGAACTGAAATGCAGCCGGCTACACCGGTAGGTGGCAATGCAGGCCTTTCTCCTCCATTGTCAGATCTTAGGGGGCCTGAGTTCTCCGGGTTCCAGTCCCTCAGGAGCCCTGAACTCAGGGCTAATGTAGAGGTTGGGTTGCAGGAGTACTGTGTGTCTAGCCTGCTGAGCAGCAGCGACCTGCCTCTGGGCTCTCAACCCTGCAGGTTTAAAGCTACCCTGTGGATGTGCGAGGAGTTCCCGCTGTCCCTTGTGGAGCAGGTCATCCCGATCATCGACCTCATGGCTCGCACCAGCGCTCACTTTGCCAGATTGAGAGACTTCATCAAACTGGACTTCCCTCCCGGGTTCCCTGTCAAAATAGGTAAAAACTCGATCGAGGGGCAGGCGAACGCGACCAACCCTCCTTCAGGGAAATGGAACATATTAAGGGCAAATTAGCAGCAAGGTGTGGCGGTGCACACCTTTAATCCCAGGGCTTAATAGACAGAGACAGGTGGATTTCTGTGAGTTTGAAGCCAATTTATTCCAGCCAGTAAGTTCCAAGACAGCCAGGGCTGTGTAGAGAGACCTTGTCTTAACAACAACAACAAAAAAGCAACAATAACATTTAAAAAAAAAAAATCAGCAGAGCTGGTCAGATGGCGGTACACACCATTAATCTCAACACTCAGAGACAGAGACTGGTGAATGTCTGTGAGTTCTAGGCTAGCCTGGGTTATATAGAGAAACCTTGTCTCAAAACACAAACACAACAAAAAAGCGCGTGATAAACACAACAGGGAAGGCCGGCACTATCCTCTGGCCCTGCTGGATCGGAGACTTGGCAGGATGCGTGATTCCTTTTGTTATCAAAATGAAAAGCTGTCCAGCCAGTGTCTGTGTAGAGGGTGCTAACAGGCACGGGCTGGCCAGGACTGCTGGCGCACCTTAATCCCAGCACCCAGCAGACAGAAGCAGGCAGATCTGGATGCTTCTGAGGTCAGCCTAATCTACGTTAGAAGTTCCAGACAGCTCCTAGAAGTTCCAGACAGCTCCGAGCTGCAGTATGAGACCCTTTCTCAAGAAACAAAGCAACTCTCCCCTCCCCCACCTCCCTTTTCTCCTCCCCTCCCCCAACAAATATGGATTCTAGTTTTAGTGTCGTACTTTTTTTTTTGTTTTGTTCTGTTTTTTTCGAGACAGGGTTTCTCTATGTAGTCCTGGCTGTCCTGGAACTCACTCCGTAGACCAGGCTGGCCTCGAACTCAGAAATCCGCCTGCCTCTGCCTCCCAAGTGCTGGGATTAAAGGCGTGTGCCACCATTGCCTGGCCCTAGTGTCGTACCTTTAATGTAAGCGAAACTCCAAATCAGATAATTTTATTTTGAACTTTTTGGATTATTCTTTGATATTTTGTTAATACTTTGATAATTCCGTGTGTGCTTTTACTTATCCACATACCCTGGCCCTCCCCTAACTGCTCATCCCTGACCCCTAGGTAACTGTTGAGCGAAGGCATTTGACAGGAAGATGTTTGGATGCACAGACACGCTTTGGGTGTTGGGAGTTGTGTAAACAATGCCGTTTGGGTTTTGGATGGTTGGGTATTTGTGACACCTGACTCCTGCCTCGACTGCTCACCTCGCCTGTGTCCGACTCTGTCTCAGTGACCCATCTGTGGACTCGGGGTCGGGGGTGTGCCGACGTGGGGACTGAGGGAAACAGCGCTGATAAAGCACATTCTGCCTAGTGCTAGCAAATGACTGTTCCCAGTGAACCCTACTAATAAGCGCTTTCATCTGTCAGAGATCCCCCTGTTCCACGTTCTGAACGCACGGATCACGTTTGGGAATGTCAACGGCTGCAGCACTGAGGAAGAAAGCCAGAGTATGGAGGGGGCCCAGGCCAACGCAGGTAAACCCGGAAGCCGGGACGTTAGCAGTCGTGTTTGAATGCTAACCATCCCGAAATGGAGCGAATCTGTGCTGCAGAAGAGGAGACTTTAGATTTAAGTGGAAAACAGCTTGGAACGGCTGGAGGAGGGGGAGGGGTGTGCTCTGGCCATGGTCTCACTCAGGAGACCAGTTGACGCCACTGGGGAGAAGAATCTCCTGTTTCCTTCGTTATTATAATCATGTTTTCCACCAAGAAAAATCAAAGAAAAGAAGCTGTATTTGTGGTCAGTTTTACTGTCATGGTTCTCCCTTTAAAGTCTCCAGTCGCAAACTGATGATGAGGGCTTCTTTGTCTTACCTTTTATTGTGGGATGGCACTTAGCTGTAGCCCTGGGGGCGGAGCCAGGAGCCTCCACGGCTGGCACGCTCTGCTCGGCCACACCCCCAGCCCTGCCCCGCCCCAGCCCCGCCCCGCCCTCAGCCCTTGGGTTCTTTGTTACTGGTTTCATTCTTTCGAATATGAAGTGTTTTCAGGCTGAGTGCAGCAGCTCATGCCTGTAATATCAGCATCTAGAGGCTGAGGCAGGAGGGGCTTTTGAGTCCGGGAGTTTGAGGTGGGCATAAGCAATGCAGTAAGTCCCTGTAGTTAGAGGCAGGAGAATTATGAGTTTGAGCCAGCCTGGGCTATATTTTGAGTTTTAGGCCAGCCTGACATTGTCATAAAACATTGACATTGTCTCAAAAACAAAAAACAAAACCAACCCTCAAAGAAACAACTTGTCTGAATGGATTGCAGTGAATGGAGACCCTGGACAGCTGCCTTTGTATTTCAGCTTCTGAGGCCACGAACTTCGAGGTTGATCAATCTGTGTTTGAAATCCCTGAATCCTATCACATTCAAGACAATGGCAGAAACGTGCACCTGCAAGACGAGGACTATGAGATCATGCAGTTCGCCATCCAGCAGAGCCTGCTGGAGTCCAGCAGGAGCCAGGTAGGACGGCAGCCGGGGCGGGGCGGCAGCGGGGCGGGGCGGGGCGGCAGCCGGGGCGGGGCGGCAGCCGGGGCGGGGCGGGGCGGGGCGGGGCTGATGCCTCTTCTTCCCCCTCCCACCAAGCATCGGAAGTTTCTAGCTCAGAACCCTCACTCTGAGCGACATGCTTGGAATATTCACAGCGCTTGTGCTGGTCATCTCATTAAGCTTGCCACATAAGAGACCCATCTATGTCGCCCCCGTTGGCATCGTTTCCGCGGTGTCTTCAGACAGACTTTCTGTCAAGTTTACTAATGTAGTTGTGGTGCTGTTTTAAAGGTGTGCTTTATAGTCTTGGAGCTCTGACGTTTACGTTTGTAAAGCAGTCTTAGTTACGGGAGCGCTGTGGACTTTGATCCCCAAAGCAGACACTGTGCCACAGGCTCAGTGAGAGGATGGTAGCTCAGACTTGAGGGCTTCCCATTTCAGGGAGTCTCCTTAAAGCCTTCCTGCTTATCAAGCAAAATCAGAGCTAGGTAAAGAGCGTTAGGGAGTTTCATGCCTCATTCCTCCGGACCCCGACTGCTTGAAACAGCCTGGGTATTGAAGACAGGCTCCCTGTCTGCTGCTGCTGTCCCCTCCCTCCTGTGGCTTCGGGTGCCATTGCAGGAGTGTTTCTCATCCGTGCCTGGTGCGTGGTCTCTGCTGTCTGCTGCTCCTGGCTTGGGCAGAAGTCGGTATCAACATGGGGACAGAGAAAAGGAAACCCTGGAGCGTCAACACTGTCTTTTCCTCCAAGTCAGGGTCACGTGGTCTACAGTAGCCGTGTGTCCTGGGTTTTTGTTGTCCATCTGTTGGTCACTGATTTCTTCTTTCTTCTCACGGTCCGTCCAGCAGGAATCTGCAGAATAAGCTGGGGTGGGGGGGTCTTGTGTGAAATAGCTCCTCCTCTGCTGGCACCTCTGAGCTGTGGGTATCATGTCCTCCTGCCTCGGCTCTCTGGGGCCCAGTAATTGGAGCCCCACCCCCTTCCTGACTTGCCCACTGCCATCACAGGACCGTTCCAGATTCATCCTTTTTTTTTTTTTTTTCATTCATTAAAACAAATGTGTATAGTTTTTTCCTGCAAGTATGTCTGTGCCTGGTGCCTGTGACGGCCAGAAGAGTGTCGGATCCCGAGCTGGACTTAGAGATGGCTATGAGCTGCCGTGTGGGTGCTGGGAACCAAACCTGGGCTCTGGAAGAGCATCCGGTGTTGTTAACCACTGAGCCACCTTTCCAGCCCTCACTTGGCCGGTTGGCTTTTATTTTTTGGGCAGCTAAGCTGCCTGCTCTCGGGAAACTCCTTGGAGAAGATCCGGCCCCTCACAAAGCCTCTGTGCAAACAAGCTTCTCCTTACTCTCCTGATAGCTATAAAAACCTTGGTAACTGTTAACTTTTGAGGGCAATAGCCAGAGTCTAAGGCAACAGATAGCAACTATGTCTTGTTAGTTTGTCCTCAAAGCATGTCCTGTCTTGGTTGTTTGATGTCACCTGAGGCTAATGGTTCTTACTGGAAGTCTGAGGAGGTGGCGCCTTGACTCCGGGGTAAAGGTGGATGCCTTCTGTTACATGTTAGAAAAGTGTGTAGCCTGACAGTCACCGTCAGTCACCGTCAGCGGCAAGCTGTAAACACCGAGTCTCGTTCAGCTACGTTCATTTCTTTGTCACTTTGGCAGCTGTTTGTGCTATGGAGTGTTTATATACATCGTTTGTTTTTGCCAGGACCTTTCAGGACCAGCGTCAAACGGAGGGGTCAGCCACACACACAGCTATGAAGCTCAGTATGAGAGGTAACTGCTGCGGCTCCTGTCACACCCAGGTTGTCACGGGCACTTGATACAGGGGCATCCTCGTTCGTGGCCTGTTGCTCAGCAGGAGATTTTTAAGGCTCGGCTCTCCTGGCTTCTTTCATTGCGGTTCCTCCTTAAACCAGCTCTGAACTGAGCGAGGGGCCCTGAGTGCTGGCTGGGGCGCAGGTCAGGGGTGCTCAGAGCCAAGCATCGGGTAAACGATGTCTGATTGGCTTGGTCTCCTGTGTGACTGCAAGGGCATTCAGTGTTAAAAGATAGTGGAAAAGAGCGATGGAAATGGCTGGAAACCCCTGGAGGGAAACCACGCTCATTCCTGTTGGTAGCACCTGGGAGCACTGTAGGTCAAAACCTCAGCTCTGCTTTCAGACAGACCAAGTTCCATTCATAGCCTTGTGCTGGGTGATGGAGGCCCAGCAGCTCCTCCTCAGGAGGCAAGATGGCACCATGCATCAGGAGTGCTTGGCACGGGACACCCTTAGTAACCGGTAAGAAAGAAGTGTAGCTGCAGCCACCGCCCCCAGGATAGCAATGACTCTCCTCCACCTTCCACCCTAGGGCCATCCAGGAGAGTCTCCTAACCAACATGGAGGGCCGGTGCCCAGGCGGCCTCAGCGAGTCGAGCCGATTCGACAGCGACCTGCAGCTGGCCATGGAGCTGTCTGCCAAAGAACTGGCGGAACAGGAGCTGAGGCTCCAGGAAGAAGAGGCAGAACTCCAGCAAGTCTTACAGCTGTCACTCACTGAGAAATAGACATTGCCGTACAGGGCCGCAGAGCAGAGGCTCTGGGCTGCCCGGAATGCTGTACCAGTGAGGCAGACCCGAGGGCAGGGGGCCGCCCCTTCCTGCCGACAGCAGCCGCCCTTTCCTTATGTAGAGGTGCAGGACCAGGGACTCCCCAGAGTGGAGAAGCGGGCGTCGGCAGAGCCCCGTCTCCATGCCGAGGGGAGGAGAGCATGCTCACCTTCCATTCGCTGTCCTGTCTGGCAGGTCACATTTTTTTACTACCAGCTTTAGACAGAAACGCTGAGCCTGCAGGCTAGTAGATGCTTCTTAGTCAGAAGTGACAAGCTACTGCGGAGTCAGGGTGCTTTTCCACAGGAGAGCAGCAGCCTTTGAGGAGTGGGTAAGAACTGGAGACGTTCCCTCCTGTTCACCAAAGAAACGGGTTATGCTGCCCTCTTTATTTCCCTTTCCCGTCGGGCTCCTGCAGCCTCGCTCGCCATCGTGCCGCCCATCTCCACCTCGTTCCATGCCTTTTACCCCCCAGCCGAAGAGGATATGTACAGGATCTATTTTAGATTATGGCTATTTGCATCAAATTAAGATATACAAATGACCACGGATGTTGCCTTAGCCTTAAAAAATTACTAACAGTTTTAAGCCACCTCACTCCACACACACCCGAGGACCTGATTTGAATCTGTAAAGGCAGTTCCTTTAGGAGCAGCATCCTCCAGGCTAAACCAAAGGCAGCTAATCCTGTCCTTGGAGGAGCAGCTAGGGGGACCCGTGGCTGGGTTCCTCAGAGTAGGCAAGCTCGCCAGACCACTGGAAGAGCCTAGCCAGCGTGTTCTGTGCCTGCTCTCATTAGGAGTTCCAGCCTGGGGAGAGCCAGCTGCAATGGCCTGGCTTCATAGAGAGGACAGGACAGACTTGAAACCAGAAAGGGAGCTAACACAGAGTAGAGGCTCTTCATCCAAAAGGGAAAAATGACTCCACACTGCTTTTTAGAGTTCAAATCAACATCTTTCTGGAAAAAATATATTTTTTAACAGAATCTTTTTATTATTTTTAAAAGATAAAAAACTGACTGCTCCCATCAGTAGCAATACAACACAGGGTTATGCGTTTTAACCAGTCTTTCTCAGGCCTCTTTTGGATACCTTTAGTAGTTAACTATTTTTGTCTAACCCTCCTGTAAATACCTTATTGCATCACAGACCAGCCCCTGGGGAATACAGCCAAGGGCACTTGCGCCTCTCACTTGGCACAGGCATTCATCCCCACAAGGCTGTGCTGATCACGTGGTAAAACAGTACCTTCCTCTGTTCTGTGTCTGTCTCCTGTGATGCTTCTTTGGGGATAGGAAGAGAATCCACCATTCCCAGGAGTGTCTGTTTGATACAGTCAATGTTGCCAGTAAAATGTTCTGAGACGCAAAGAATCCGTGAGTTTAATTCCTCATAGCTATCTATCTGCCTTTTTTTTTTTTTTGTCATGGTCCGACCCAAATCCCTTCCCTGTACACAAGGCCCAGGGTTGGCACATTGGTTCGGTACACAGGCTGGTGGTCTGTTCAATTGACATCTGCCAAGAGCAAAGACACTTCTGGGAGTGCCGTGCGTACTCACTAAGGGGGATCCTAGGTAACGCCTGCGTCTGCATTCCATTGCTCTTCTTCCCTTGAAGTCTGTGACTGTGTCCCCGGAAGCCACTTACAGCAGGACTCAGCACTGCAGCAACCTGTTGCAGCTTTTCCCATGTCCTCCCTAAAAACACAAATAAATCTGCTTCCATAAAGGGTGCTCCCAGTTGTCGACAGCCCGAGTCCTGTCTCTTCCAACGTGTCCTCCAGTCACTGTGTCGCCAGAACACACGCTTCCTGTTCACACTCACTTCCTGTTCCGTGCTTCCGGTTCACAGAGCCGCACACCCCTCCCCACCTTCCACAGCTCCCGCCAGATGGAAGTAAACGTGTTGGGCTACCAAGATCCTCTTCGTGTGCCTCCTGAAGTGTGGTGCCTTTGAGAAGAGAAAGCGGGCCGTCTTTGGCATCCCTGACCAAACAGACCTGCTCCTTGAAGCTAGAGTGCTGGGGGCTGCTTTTAAGGCATTTGGGTGAAAATCAGGGCCTTAAAAGGAGACAGGTAGGTGTTCTAGGAGACCGGAAGAGCAAGAGGCTCATGAAGAACACCCCCTTTGAAGGCGTAGGGGTACAGTCTATGGATTGCTTAATGATCAGTTTGCAAAGGCTCTGGTGCCCCAGCTATCTGAAACTGAGTTCTACCCAGACGCACTATTGGCACTGAGTCCAGGCTGTGGAGTGTCCCAGCCTTGGCATGAAGTGTAGCAGGAAGGAAAAGGTGGCTTTGAATGGTGACAGGACCGTGCGGGCAGCAGCATGGCCTCAGGTGCCTCCCGACCACAACGGACACAGACTGTGTGACAGTTAGATGACTGTGGGACAGTGATTGTTGGAGGCCAAAGTGCCACCTAGACCTCAGTCTAGAAATAGGTGTGGGTTTAGGGTTGAGTCCAGCTGGAAACTGAGGAGTGCTCCCTGTCCCCAGACCTCAGGCAGTGACCAGACACAGGTGTTTGCCACAGCACCCGCGTGTGACACAGACTAATGTCTAGGGATGGTTTGGCTATGGGGCTTTGCCTTACATCCCTGAGTTCCCTTTAGTAAAGCTACCTGTAGCCCTGGTTGGCTAGGAACTCCTCAGAGACTCAGGAGTGCTAAGATTAAAGGTGTGTGCCACCAGACCTGGCAACTTACTATTTTTAAAATACTTTTAATCGTGTGTCCAAAGAGGGAGAGTTGTACACATGAGTGCTGGTGGCCTCACGCCAGGGGTCTCCTGGAGCTGTAGTCATAGGTGATTGTGATCTGCCTGATGTTGGTGTGGGACTCTAACCCAGGTCCTCTGGAAGAGCAATACATGTTCTTAATTACTGAGCCATCTCTCCAGCCCCACAGTTCTATTTCTGATCATGTATTTCTGGTCTAATTCTTCGCCCTGGGACACAAGAGCCTGGAAGACTTCAGCCACGTGCCCCCGGGACTCGCATCCATGTCCTGCTGGGGAGGACAGCCAGTGGCCAGGCCTCCTACATTTCAGTATTTTCCACCACTGACTTCAGAGCACCAGCGTTACAGCTGATAGGGAGACAAGCACTGGAGGGGTTAAGTTCTTACCGGGAGACAAGCACTGCAGAGGTTGAGTTCTTACCGGGAGACAAGCACTGGAGAGGTTAAGTTCTTACCGGGAGACAAGCACTGCAGAGGTTAAGTTCTTACTGGGAGACAAGCATTGGAGAGGTTAAGTTCCTATAGTTGTCCCTGGAACGAAACTACAGGCCTGCTCTGCACAGCAAAGCACTCATGTGTCCACCCTCCCTCTTTGGACACGTGATTAAAAGTAAGAATTTAAAAAATAGTAAGTTTCCAGGCCCGGTGGTGCACACCTTTAATTCTAGCACTCTTAAGGCAGAAATGAGTCTCTGAAGAGTTCCTGGCCAACTGGCTCTGACTCTGGTCAGGTCTACTAGTCAACGTACTGTAGTACTATAACTACTGTTCTGGTCTTCCTTAAACCGATCAGGCCAGATTATCCCCTGCACTACCCGCTCTCCCCAACCCCCCCCCCTACACACACATACACACACACACCTGCAGTAAAAGGTTTTTTTTTTAAGGATTTTATGTAAATGAGCATTTGCCTTTGTGAATGTCAGTGCACCACATGAATTCGTGGTACCCACCAGAGGGCAGAAGCGGGTATCAGATCCTCTGGAACTGGAGCCATTGTTAGCTGTGAACCAACTAACAATGTAGGTGCTGGCAACCAAACCTGGGTTCTCTACCAAAGCACCACGGCTCTAACCACTGAGACATCTCTAGCCCGACCCCTGCTTTGCAAACACTTGTCAACATAATGAGGCACAGAACAGCAGACAGGGTTTCTCTTCAATGTAACTGACATTTAATGGCTCAGGGTTACAGGGTTCCAGATGTGACCCCACAGTTGGGCGCCGTTCACATCAGTGCAGGCTGTTAAGTTAAAACACAAAAGGCCAGTGCTGTGTTTGAGGGCAATACATGATTAAGCATAACAACTTATAGCAAAATTAAAATAAATAATAACCTCTATAACAACAGAAAGTACCAACGGGGGAATCTAGTTCAGTAGCAGCACTTGGAAAGCAGACAGTCTTGTAAACAGCAGTTTGCACGGGGGACACATGGCTGAACCCTCTACACCTGGGGAGAGAGGGAGACCAAGTCTCAGGTTGCCACCCGTCAGGATATCTGTATGTCTGAGCCACCCAGAACCTTCCAGACCAAGGAGGGATAGGAGCACACGATCACAGACCTAGGATGCAACTCTGGCTCAGCACCCACGCAGCAAGGAATGATGGCTAAGTTCCCTAAATTAACAGTGCTTCACAACCAGGGTATTCGAGGGCAGCTCAGTAGAGTGAGATGTGGTGTGTGTGTATATTTACTTATTCCTGTGCGGAGGTCAGAGAACCACCCATGGGGCAGTTCTCTCCATCAGGTGAGTTCCAGGAATCATAATCGGCCTTGGTGGCAAGTGCCTTCATCTGCTGAGTCATCCCGCGTGTGATGACCACACTGTTAGAGAAAGACGGAAAGCGGGGGAGGTCTACATGTTAAGTCTTCCTCTTACTACTTCAAGCATTAGGGATTAGTCCTGGGACTGGTTCTTCTGAACACTCTGCAATGGTCTTTACAAGGACCCTGGGAGCTTCAGGCTTTACTTTTAACCAGCACAGCCAAACAAACAAAAAGAAAAGATGCTGAATCAGTAGCCAATACGGAGGTGAGGGAAACAATTACTGCCAGATGCTTCCCTGACCCTGTAGCATTTTACCGCCTGCCTAGAAGTTCTGATTCTTCCGTATCCAGTGGCCCATGCGTAACTTCTGTCTCGGAAACTTGGAGCAGGACTTCCTTGTGTGACCGTCACCGTCGACGGATGGGCTTGTAGACACAAAATGCCATAAGGATGACGGTCACCAGCAGGATGCTAAAGATGGTTCCCATCAACACTGCAAAGGGAAAACAGGTTACCTTGTGGAGGCTTCAGGTTCCATGTTTATCCATTAAGAGAGAGCGTTTTCCCAACTGCTGTAAGTGCATCAAGGGCACTAACTACATGGGGGCGGGGGCAGGAAGGAGCACTCAAGTCACCCCACAGACAACAGCCTGCGCCCCTGGGAAGATCTGCAGCATGATGGGAGGCAGTGAGCAGCTGCAGACAGGAGGGAAGGAGGCACCTGAGGTAACGTGTACACACCGAGCTCCTTCAGAGAGACAACTCAGGAGGCCAGGGCAGTCCCAAGGCTCAGCAAAGGGACAGCCTTGAGGCCAGAACAAGCCCAGCATATGCAGCAAGCAGATGAGCATTGCGGGAAGCCAATGCATGCAGGGCCTTTCAGACAACAGAGGAACATGGGCTTGCTCACTGAATTATTTTTGTATGTTGTATACGTATGTACAATGGTGCAGGCATGTGTGCACAAGTGTGTTCAGGGCCAACACAAGACGTCAGATCTCTGTCACCACTGCTTCATGACTTGATGCCTTCAGAGAGGGTCTCCCATGGGACCTGAAGCTTGCTGTTTTCGTCTGGGCTGGCTGAGCAGCCTGCAAGTTCTTTGTCATGTGTAACTTTGCATGTGGGTGTCGGGGACTCAAACTTAGGTCCTCGGGCTTGCAGGCTGAGCACTCTTACTGAGGTATCTTCTAGGCCCAATCCCCACTATATATCAAGAAAGGCCTTTGGACAGGCAAAACACACCAGATCTGATTAGTTGGGGGAAAAAGATCCTCTAGCTTCTGTTCTGAGAACATCGCATTGTGGAAGACGACAGAACCAGGGGGCCCAACTTCATCTCTAAAACCTGAAGATTTGATAAATAAGCCAGTTCAGGTGCTGGGTGAATCCTCACCAAAACAGCAACACCTTTACAAACCTGCTTTTTTTAAAAAATGAACAAAAATCTTTTTTAAAACGTATTTTTGCCGGGCGCATGGCTTTAATCCCAGCACTTGGGAGGCAGAGGCAGGCGGATTTCTGAGTTTGAGGCCAGCCTGGTCTACAGAGTGAGTTCCAGGACAGCAAGGACTATACAGAGAAACCCTGTCTCGAAAAAAACAAAGAATAAAAAAGTATTTTTGTCTGGGTCTGTGTATGCACAAGGGTCAGACTGATTAAACTCAGGTCACTGGGCTTAGCAGCAAGTGCCTTTACCCGCTGTGCCATCTCTGGCTCAACTTACTGTGTGTGTGTGTGTGTGTGTGTGTGTTTTGCCCGCATTCACGTCTTTGTAACACAAGGGTACCTGGTTCCAGCAGATGCCTCAAGACGGGGTCAGATTCCCTAGGACTACAGTTTCAGAAGGTTTAAGCTGGCACGTGGGTGCCAGAAATCAAAGCCAGGTCCTCTACAAAGAGGGGCTGGTGCTCTTAACTGTTGAGCCGTCTCTCCATCCCCCATTGTGTTTCTGAGAGTAGAATTCCCATCTAAAATAGTCAAGGTGCTAACGGGAGGAGTGAGGCTGACAGGTGACCACTGAGCCCGGTGGCCCGGGCCTTAAGGACCCAATGACGCAAATAACCAGTCACTCGCCCTACTCGGCAGCAGCAGTCTTCCGAGACACTCAAAACACTGTGACCTTCAAATAAGCAAATTTATAAACGCTTAGTTCCGACTACGTGGGCCCATGCCAGGTTCCAACTGGGTCTGACTGTGATTATTCTGATAGAGTTCTCTTTCCTCTGAAAAACCAAGACCCAATTACTTTCCAGGAAGTCATTTCAGAGCCTCTGTGCCTGCCCCACCCCTACCCCATCACATCCTCTTAGCCTGGTCTTTAAACACCAAGGTTCATCTTTTCTTGGTGAGGGTGAGAAAGGACAGAAAAACATGACAGTACATGCCACAACTCCAAAAGGCCAGATGTCATTCTAAGACCTTTCTGGATGCTGGGAACCAGGCCCAGACCCGCTGCAAGTGCAGCCGGGACTACCTGCTGGGTTTGTTTATTTTGGGGGGTTTCTCTGTGTTTCCCTGGCTGTTCTGGACCAGGCTGGCCTGAACTCACAGAGCTCCACCTGCCTCTGCCTACCGAATGCTGGGATCAAAGGCGCATGCCACCACCTTCCGGCTCCCACTTGTTTTAAAAAGCAGAATTCCCTTTCAGTCTTAGGATCTGTCTTGAAAGTTTTACATCTTTAGAGCCTCTTCCAAAGTGTAAGGGGATGGTTTAAACGGAGTGAGAGAGTTTTAAGTCCAGCTGCAGTCATGAATTTAGGAAACTGGAAATTCAAGGCTTTTTTCAACTTGACCAGGCACTCAGTTGGCCTGGGCTAGTTGGAGATGGGGCATTTGCATCAATAAGCTGGGACAAGTGGAAACCCAGTTAAAAGGATTCCTTTAAACTTAACTATGGATTACCTTCAAACACCTCACCTCTCCTCAAAACAAGTCAGCCCTCTGGGAGGCAGGCGTGTCTGCATCCAGAGGGTAAAAGAGACTCCGCCCCCTGCCTCCCCTTCCCAAGAAAAAAATCACTTGATCCAAGATGTCGGTGGTATGAAGGGTGATGAACCCACCTCTAAAGGGAAATCCGTGAGAACCACCCAGTGGAATGCTGGATAGGTACCAAGTTAGTGATCAAAACACGGAAAGGAACCAAGCAGACTGAAAGACAATCCAGAAATGATAGCTGGATTGTCTTACATCATGGGTACAGGGGCTGAGGAAGGACAGACAGTTTCACTCGGAAATCTGCCCAGCTAAGCTGATTTCACCGCCATGCACTCGTTTGTGTGTGTACGTGTGTGTGTGTGTGTGTGTGTAACAGATAACCCTACCTAAAGTTCTTTCAAGCCTCCATAAACCCCGATTCAAGTACTGATATTCACCACTTGGACCCGAGTATCCCTGAGTGACACAACTTTACCTCTGGCCTTCATTTTCCTTTTTCTCTAGAACAGCGTTGAGAGCCCTGCTCTCCTCGTTTAGCGCTCAGCGAGGCCCGAAAGAATACATGCAAATAGCGATGAGCACAACACCCCGGTATGTAGGAAATGCTAAAACTTGTCAGTTACAAACGCCATCACTGAGAACTGGACCGTTTAAAAGGACTAGAGATGCAGGATGAGCACGGCTGCCTAGCCTGAATCCACAGAGCCAGAAGACAGGGGCGCACAAACCCTTCCAGTTCCAGCAGGTGCCGCCAACACACAGGGTGCGAGCGCTGGCTCCCAAGCCTGGGGCTGACAGCAGGAGAAGCAGCTTCGGGAGGACCAGCCGCCCGGGGCCGGTCCCGATCCCCGCCCGCGCCCCGCACAAGCTCCCCGCGCCGGGATCTGCCTCCAAACGCGCACCCCGCGCCGCCCCGCGCCGCTCACCCAGGTTCTGCCCCCGCAGCACCGCGTAGGGCCGGCTCTGCTCCGGCGGCACCCCGGGGCTCGGGGCCTCGGCCCGCCCCGGCAGGAGGCTGCAGAGCGCGGCGCACAGCCGCAACAACCCCGCGCGCGGCATCTCTGGAACCTGCGCCCCGCGGAGCGCGCGGACGCCGCTTCCGCCGCAAGCTCCGCCCCTAGGCGCTGTCTTTCCGCGGCCAGCCCACTCCGCACGCGTGGTTGCCATGGAATCGGGACGGGAGCGAGGGGAGGGGCGGTGGGCGGGACAAGGTTCCGCCAATCCGGAGTGGTCCCCGCTTAATACTCCACCCCGACCAACTTCCGGGGGGCGGGGGGAAATCACCGTTCCGCGCAGATGGTTCCACGGTTACAGCGAGCGCTCTCATCATCCTTGCCTATGGAAGGCTTTGCTTTACACACCCATACATTTTCGTATTAAGTCGTCACCACAGTCCGAAGAAACCGACACCGTAATTCCGATTTTTTTAAAAATTTACGCTTTGCGTGTTTATTTTGGTTTCTTTCGAGACAGGGTTTCTCTGTGTACCCTGCCTCTTGGAACTCACTCTGTAGACCAGGCTGACCCTGGACTCAGAGATCCGCCCGCCTCTGCCTCTCAAGTGCTGGGATTTACGTCTATGGGCATTTTTCGAGTATGTATGTCTGTATATCACATACCTGCAGTGCTCGTAGAGGCCGGGAGAGCGCGTGGGATCGTTGGGAACTATGGTTTACAGATGGTTGTCGGGCGCTGCGTGGGTTCTGGGAATGAATCTGCGTCCTCTGGAAGAGCAGTCAGTGCTGAGCCACCCCTCCAGCACCGTGTGTGTGTGTGTGTGTGTGTGTGTGTGTGTGTGTGTGTGTCAGAGAGACAGAGATACAGAACTATATGGGTGCAGCGCATGTGGGAGCCACTAGAGGGTGATGTATATCCTGCAACAGCCGGAGTTACACGTGGTTGTCATGTATCTTCTGAAATCTCCTTTTCTAGCCCTCAAACTGTTTTTTGTTTTGTTTTGTTGTGTTTGTTTGTTTGTTTGTTTGTTTCGAGACAGGGTTTCTCTGTGTAACCCTGGCTGTCCTGGAACTCACTCTGTAGACCAGGCAAGCTGGGCTCGAACTCAGAAATCCGCCTGCCTCTGCCTCCCAAGTGCTGGGATTAAAGGTGTGCGCCACCACCGCCCGGCTTCAAACTGTTTTTTAATCCTAAAATTTTTTGAAGCATATTGCGAATGTCTCCTGGAATAGCACACTAGTCTATTTGACATTCAAACCTATGGTGGTGGTGGACGTGGGTTGTGTTCCTTTTCTTTGAGTTACGGTTGGTGACCAGATGGAAAGCAGGCCTGTCTTCCTACCGTGATGCTCTGGTGTCCTTGCTCCGGGGGCATGCACACCATCCAGTGGCCAATAAGCATCTTCCATCCCTTTGGCTGCAAGGACTAGTTCATGACCCAGTGAGTGGGCTCAGTTAGACCAATGAGTTATATAGGCAATCTCCTTCCGTGAAGATTGTTATTACTCTCATTAATTTGTTATCGTTAATGAGATGGGGGTCTCTTTAAACAGCCCTGTCCGGGAACTTACTCTGTAGACCAGGCTGGCCTCAAATTCATACAGATCCGCCTGCCTCTGCCTCCCGAGTGCTGGGATTAAAGGCGTGCACCAACATGCCTAGCCTATACCATCATTTTTAAGGTTTAGTTTATTTTATGTAGGTGAACGTTTTGCTTGCATGTGTGTGTGTGTACACTGCTCGGGTGCCTGGAGCTGGGGAAGGCTAGAAGAAGGTGTGTGTTCCTCTGGAGCTGGAGTTACAGATAATTGTGAGCCTCCGTGTAAGTGCTGGGAAGTGAACCCAGGTCCTCTGGAAGAGCAGTAAACGCTTTTAACCACTGACCCCCTCTTAGCCCCTTTTATACAATCTTAAGATCTTATTAGTGGCTGATCTCACTTTTGCTATGATGGTGAAAAATCCACAATGTAAAATTAATCATTTAGCTACCTTTGAATACAATTCAGCTGTATTAGGCATGTTAACACACATGGACCATTTCCAGAACTCTCTCATCTCAAACAGAAACTCTGTTTAGATGGTAACTCAGCTATCTCCACCAACCCCACCCCCCACACGTCTCCGTTCCCTAATGACCCGTTTTACTTTTGGCTCCTGCATAGCTAGCTATTCCATATCAATAGTTCTCTATCATATAAGTGGAACGTACATTTGTCTATTTGTTACCGTTAAATAACTATTTTTGTGGTTTGTAGCAATCTTTTAAAACTATCAGAACACATACACACGAATCCAGTCACAAAACAATTGTTTCCTGTGGCTAATTGTCTTTACATTGATCACCAGTGAATCACAAAGCAACGCCCTGCACCTCCTAAGCTCTCAGTACTGCATAAACGATAAACCCATTCACCAGGTTGAAGGTCGTACACATTAGCCCGACATGAACGTTAGTTATTTCCTTGGCAAGCGCCCAAAGCAAATGACTCCCACATCCGGGACTCCTAGGGGCTGCAGGAGGCCGTGAAATCCCTTAGAACTCCTACGGATTGCTGGGTGGCCGACTCCACCTCCCTGCAGCGAGGGCACAGGACTGGACACTTCCCAGGCAGGCAGGCTTTCACTGTGCAGAGCTCACCAGGCTAAGCCTGGGAGGAGACTCACCTCGTGAAAACGCTCAGCCCCGCCCCCGTACCCTGCCTGGCCAACCACGTCCAGAGGTTGGGAGGCCACGCCCACCGGTGGGTGGTTCCAGCAGCCCTATCTTAGCTCTGTTCTCTAGCGCCCCTACTGGCCACTGCGGCGCTGCCATCGCTCACAGCGACTGGTCCCTGAGCAGCTTCGTGGCTCTCATTTGAATACCTGAACTTCCAGAATATCTGAGGGGGGCCTGAAATCCCATTCCGAGTTCCCCACAGTCCCCACACATTTCCTAAACGAAGCCGTGTTCCCTTCGTGTCGAACACCGCTAAGTCGTCTGGTTTCTTTATTTCCCTGGGCTGGGCTGGGGCCGAGGCGAAATCAAAATGAAAACGTACCTTGAGATGAATATTGAACGAAATACCTTGAGATGGATTAAAAAAAAAAACCAAGAATACCGCACATCGAGCTCTGTAACGCAGTGAAAGCAGTTCTAAGAGGGAAACTGGCGGCAATAAATTCGTTAAGGAGAAAAACAGACCTTAAACAGGCATTGTAATAGACCCCAAGGTACTAGAGAAAAACCGTTCCTCCATATCTTTACTGCCTTTGGGAAGCTGCATAGACCCCACCCCCATGTGCAGTTGTTCCCGGGTTATTAATTGCTCAATCTTATGCCAGGAAGATTAAAGGTTTTTAACCTTTCTTAATTGTCAAGGTTTGACACACATCCTTAACCTAGTCGGATTTTTTTTTTTTAATCTATAACAGATAAGAGGTTACGCTCAAAATGGAGATATTTCTCAGGTGGCCTCACCTTGGTAAAATCCTTCATCCTGACAGTGCTTTTTTTTTTTCTTTACAAAGATTGTCACTTTGCTTTAGATCTGACCTAACACTGACAGCGCGGGATCATTTAATTTTGAGATTTTATTTCTACTTTAGGTATAGTTTTGCTTGAATATGTGTCTGTGCGGTACATTTGTGAAGTGCCCGAGCGTCCCATGGTTGTGAGCCCCCGTGTGGATATTGGGAATGAAACCCAGGTGCTTTGGAATAGCCAGTTCTCTTAAGGGAGCCATCTGTGGTGGTTTGAATGAAGGCCCCATAAGCTCCTGTTTGAATACTTGGTCCCTAGTTGGTGGTTGGGTGTGGCCTTGTTAGAGTGGGTGTGTCACTGGGGTGGGCTTTGAGGTTTCAAAAGCCTGTGCCAGGCCCACTTAAGGTTTCCTCTCTCTCTCTCTCTCTCTCTCTCTCTCTCTCTCTCTCTCTCTCTCTCCTGACTCTGGATCTGGAGGTAAGCTCTCTGACTCTTCTCCAGTGCCAGCACGCTCCCCACCATGAAGGTCATGGACTGACCCTCTGAAACTGTAAACAAGCCGCCCCCACCACCCCCAATCAAATGCTTTGCTTTTTAAAGTTGCTTTAGTCGTGGTGTCTCTTCAGAGCAATAGAACACTAAGATCTGCAGCCCACGAGGTTTTGTTTGGAAGGGCCCCAGGCTGGAGAGCAGGGTTCTTGTGGTTTCCTCTCTTGAATCCTCCTGGAGTTCCTCCGTCCGTCCATCGCTGATCTATCTGCTGGGATCCTCACCACTTAATAGGTTTTCATATTAAACAATTTGGATATAATCCTGCTTCTCCTCTTTCAACTTATTAAATGGCTCTCTTAATTTTGCTTCTTTCATCAAAAAAAAAAATACAGTTTAAGTCTTCTTCATCCTGGTGCCCCACGGGGTTAGCTCACTCAGAGAACCTAGGCTCTAGCAGAAGGATTAACCAGGCGCCAAGTGTCTGTGGGAAGGAGGAGGAGCTCCTGTGAGCTCCCGAGCTCCCGTGCTGAATTTCCAGCACACCTTTCTTTCTGCACCGTTCAGAAGAGTGGGTGCGTCCCTAATACTACCTGAAATGGCTTATATGCTATCTTCGTAAACCAGAGTACTGACGTGCAGCCCAGGCTAGTCTCAATTTTCCTGTCTCAGCCTTCTCAATACTAGGATTACAGGTGTGTACCACTAAGCGCTCTCTCTCTCTCTCTCTCTCTCTCTCTCTCACACACACTCACACACTCACACACTCACACACTCACACACTCACACAATTTAATCAGAAACAAATTTACATTTTTTATCTAAAAATGCTTAGAGTTAGAAACAGTGCTGGCATGTTTTATATTTCAAAATGGGATTAAAAAACAAAACAAAACCCTATTCTTAGTTTCAATATATTATACCTTTTTAACTTTTTTTCCTAATTAAGAATAATATTAAGCCGGGCGGTGGTGGCTCACGCCTTTAATCCCAGCACTTGGGAGGCAGAGGCAGGTGGATTTCTGAGTTCGAGGCCAGCCTGGTCTACAGAGTGAGTTCCAGGACAGCCCGGGCTACACAGAGAAACCCTGTCTCGAAAAACCAAAAA